GTTCTTACGGTGTCAAAAAATACCCTTACATTGGGTTAATGTTTAATTTTGTAAAATAATAATAATTATTATTTATAAAAAATTAAACATTGAGGGACTGAAATTGAATCTTAGAAAAACAAAATTAAAGTTTCAAGCGCTATACATTCAGCACTGTTTTCAAAAATTATGCCTTCAGGTTTCGGTCAAATTCTTTCTGATCCTTCTAGTTTGATAATTACAAGTTTTGGTCCAAAACTTTGTTCTGTTCACATTTAAGCCCATGAGTTTATAAGAGGAGAGAGAAAGTTGCCTAAAAATTAAAGAGAAGAGAAAAAAATTTAGCTGTCCACATTTTGATTAAAAAAAATTGTTTTTGATATTAATAATTTTTACTGGACGAGAAAAGTTTTAATGAGATTTCTTTTGTTTTATCTTGTCCAAAAAAAAAAATATAATATAAATCAGAATTAAGAAAAAGTAATTTCTTCTTATGATGTTTAATCATTTCCATTTCTAGATATTATCTGGGAAGCAAATACCATATTTTGAATAAGAGAAATTTTAAAATGTTAATTAAGGAATATTTTTTACTTCTACGAGGGATTTTTCAGCTTATATGAAAATATTATTTTCACTTTTGATGAGTGCGGTATTTAATTGTTTCTTTTATTATTCATTTATTTGTTTCTTCAAAGTGCATAAATGCTTATACATAATTCGTAGCACCATAAAAATCTCTATTGTCATCCCACATTATAAAAGATTTTAAGAATAATTTCTTCTTCTTCTTTTTTTAATTACAAAAAAAGAATAACAATGCACATGGCTAAAACTTTGTTAATATCAAAAATATTTTTTTAAATTAATTTTTATGTTTTTATAAGGTTATAATGATTTCATGTTTCGATATATGAATTATTAAGTTAATCTAGATTAACTTAAATTAATCTAACATGATATTTTTTAATATTTTAAAATAAAATTTTATTTTAAATTAAATTATATTTTATCAAATATTCAAATTACTTTTAAACCTATAAAAAAAACCTAAACCATATCATATCAATTTTCCACACTGAGAAAATGGACAAGTATAACACTTGCAGCGTCTTAGAAACTAAAAGCAAGAGAAAGAAGCAAGAAACTCTAAAGGATAATAGAAATATTCATAATGTGGTGTTCATAGGTACTTCTATAAGGATCCCTGAGTCACAACAATTGTTGCAGGACTTGTTCAATGGAAAAGATCTTTGCAATAACATTAACCCTCTAGCCACAATAATTTTGTTTAAAAGAAATTATTTATTATATCACATATTAAAAAAATTCAAAAATATATATATATATATACAAAATTAAATTAAAATTAAAAAAATAAATAATTTTTAAAAGCAATACATTCCTAAACACCCCCTGGATATATTCGTTGAGGGTAAAATGATCCAACCGAAGAACACAATTACTATCATAAATGATGAGGGCAGAATGTTAGAAAAAGAAATTAAGAACATGGTAAAAGAAGTTGAGAGGTTTTGCCTAGGTTAAGGAATTCTTCATAAGAATATCTTTGCTAAAATCAAATTTAATTTATTTGGGATAAACAATCTTATACATACATCGGTAACAATACTACATTTATTTTTTTTGGAATTGATGAGTTTACATTGTAACCGATGATGGTTTTTTTTTTTTCAAAGGGGAATTAAAGCTTGACGCTGGAAACATATCGAGAAATCCAATTCATGAAGAAGGATGATCATGTCATATAATATATTTTAAAAAATAAAATAAAAATAACTTACGTCTGTTAGATCATAATGAATTTTTTTTTAAAGCAATCTGCATGCCTCTGTTCCTTAGAAAGGGAGCTCTCTAGCACCAGTGGAGGTCGGGAACATACTCAAATCAGGTCCAAGAGATATAATTCAATATTTTTTAATTTCTCTAGTTGTTTTTTAATACCTTTTCTAGTTAGGTTTCGTTTTTTTGTTTTTTATTTGGTTCAGCTTATTTTTCAAAACAATTAAAATTGATTATTTAAAAATTCTCAATCCAGATTTTTCTCAATAACTTAGGAGCTGTGATTCTAAGGTTTAAAAAAACCTTAGTTTCTCTTTTTATAGACTAAGGATGTAATCTTTAAGGTTTAAGGGGCACTGGTTTTTTTCTTTCGCTATACTCGTCGATCTTATCAACTTGGTATCACAGCTTCTGGGCACAACGACAACCATGGACACACAAACCACGTCAACTATACCTTCTTCTTCAGCAAGCCCGATCACGACTCTCGTGAATCCGATTTAGCAGCAGCAAACCCTTCCTCGGTCAACAATGTTTATTCCTCTGTCAAATTACGCGCACCACTCTATCTCCTTGAAACTGACTAGTACAAGCCATTTGCATTGGAAAACACAAATGAAGTCCTTCCTTCAAGGACGAGGGCTATTCGGCATTTCGGATTTGTAGAAGGCTCCAAACTATATCCTCTATCTCATGTTATTGTTGAAAATACATTACTGTCTCAGCCAAATTCGACTCATGTTCTATGGGTTCGGCAAGATCAATTGCTGAGGAGTACCCTTATTTCTTCGTTACCTCCTTAGGTTTTTTATTTGATAGTCGATTGTACTCCATCCCGTAGTATCTGGCTGACCTTGGAGAATGCCCTTGCTTCTCCGTCTACCCGGATCATGACAATACATATTGCTCTTCGAGAGCTCCGGATGCATGATGAATCTGTAACAGCTTATTTGCAGCGAGCTAAGCATTACCATGATGGGCTCGCAAGTGCTGGGTGGCCTCTATCCACAGCTTCGTTACCACTTTATCAACCAGGTCAGAACCTGTTTCTTCCATTGGTTTATTATTGACTCGTGAATTTTCGCAAAAGGATATATATGTTTGAATGAAATCTCAAAAAACCATGTAGTTTAAGAATAAGTCTCTCGATTGGATAATCGGTAAATTAAATGGTTATAACAATTTTATTTATTTTTCTAGGTAATCAATAACACTTGTATTTGATGTTTAGCAGGTTAAGATGATTTATAGTTAACATATATAAAAGATTTTTTTTGATAAAGATACAAACATTTTAATGTTTAAATAAATATTTTTTTTAAAAAATATAATAATATTTTAGAAAGAGATATTCTAAAAATATATATAATAAAAAATAAAAATATTAATTTTTATTTAAAATTTTTTATGATGTATTTATAATCTATAAATTTTTTTTTTGTAGCAAAAAGAATGGAGGATAACTTTATCTTTGGCTCTCGAATTGCAAATGGCTCAATCACTCCCTCGGAAAATCCCAGTCAACGGAAGCAGCAGCATGTCGATACTGCTACTGACAGCCCTTTGTGGCAATAACAGAAGCAGGAACCATGTATGAGGGGATAGGAACCATGGCAATTTTCGCTCCTCTTACCATCAACCAGGGACAGCCCGGAATACCAACAATTCGTGCTCTAATAATTAGTGGTCCCCTAATGGTCAGAACCAGAGAAGCATCCGATGTCATCTGTGCAATAGGTTCAATCACACAGCTCAATTTTTCGCTCAACGCTTCAATCAATCTGAATACCCGGCTGCCTATATATATGGTCACTCATGTTCCCTCTACAGCCACTTTGCAATGGCTTCTTGGGATCATCTAGCTGATGTTTTAACTAAACATCCAGATGCTTCTCAGTTCTAACTTGTTAGATCCAAGCGTCACGTTGACTCCCTCCACCATCAGCTTGAAGGAGCATATTATAGTATTTGATGTAGTCGGTTATTATAATGTACATATATAGGTGGTCATATTTCTTGTTATACGGCTGTTATGCATTAACTTTCCTATTGTGTATTCAAGTAAGTGCGCATCAAAAACTGAAGCCTAGAAGATCATAGGCTTACAGTTTGATCTCCTTGTTTCTTTTTGTTTCTCAACTGACATAAATATAACATTATGCGTTCTGCGTTCTGCGGGTGAAGACATGAAGCCTTTTATACCGTGTCTTCTGTACCGTAAACATTCAATCGTCGAGAACGTATTGTTGGGACCACGTGGTATTCAAGATCAATGCCTATTGGAGACTGAGCATGCGCACACAATATATATTTAACATGATTGGCAAATCATAGAATAGTCTATATTATTATAGACAGAGAAAAGATACATATTCACAGAGGAGGAGGATCATCTCACTTCCAGCACTCTTTGCTGCACCGCAGCCCTTCTCTCTTTCTCTCCTCACATGTTTCTCTTTATTCTGCTCATTCTTTGCTCTACAAATGGTTCCTCTATTTTAGGCATCAATGGCCAACAACTCCAGCTCTTAATTTCTCAACAATTTGGCCACCTATCTCACTAATCTTGTTTGATATTTGGTTGCTGCACTTTCTTTGTCAATGTACGGTGTCGTTCATTCTTGGTTGATGCACATGTGAGCTTATACATTCACATTAATGGCAACAAACCTAACACGTATGGCTTATTTCTGTAGCTTAGAAGCCTCGTCATTTTAGTTACCAAATTCCCTCAGTTATTGATTTATAGAGAGGCATTTTAGACTATGTTGAGTCTGGATGACCTGCTCCACACATCGCATCAATATTTAGCAGAAAAACATCTGTCCTCAAACCTGTTGTGAGTGTGACTATAGCCATCACTCTAATGAAAGATAGAGAAGAAAAACAGTTCATTCGATCATTGGACCTCGTACATATGTCTTAGTGAAACAATCAGTGAATCCCTTCAGTTTTAAGAACCTAATTTGTAGTCTTTGGCTATATTTTCACATTTGTTTGTAACTTAGTCGCTCTATTGATTTTTCGTAATAATTTAAGTTTTTTCTTTTCTTTTCTAAAAATCCTTCATTTCAAATCAAGTTTCCAAAATCACCTACTACAGATAAAATAAAAGATTCGTTAAAAAAAGTAATTAAGTTTTTCTAAATATAATTAACAGTCAACTTTATCGAAGGACTAGCTTATGGTTCTCAAAACCAAAAGATTAATAAAAAACATAGAGACTAAATCATAAATTATTTTATTTTGGCTCAATGCAGCGATCAAGATACAAAATTTCATCTAAAGATTTTTTTCATCCTCAGAGAAGCTTCCATCATATTCTCTCTATGACTAAATGCACTAACTCTGATGTACTCTTCACCACCAGGACCAAATCCTCTACCTGGAACAGTCACTACATGTGTTTTCTCTAGGATTTCATTGAATACATTCCAAGAACTCATCCCTGGAAAATGAACCCACACATAAGGGGCATTTTTGCCTCCATAGACCTTCAATCCAAGCGATTCAAATGCTTCAACAAGTATTTTCGCGTTCTCTTTGTAGTAGTCAACCACATTGCACACAGCCTGAAACAAGAATTGAAAAGAGTGAATCCTAATTGAAAAGGTCAGCTTTGTGATGCTAGAAAAATCTTCCAAGCGAGGCAGTCACACCGCTAACTCACCTGGTAACCATCTCTAGAAAGGCATGCTAGTCCTCCAGCCTGAACAATATTTGAAGCGCCATTGAAGCAGGTGCATACAATGCGGTTGAAATCTTCTATGACAGGAAATCCGTTGGAGTATTTCAACTCTTCAGGAACCACTGTCCAACCGAGGCGGACGCCAGTGAACCCAGCAAATTTGGAGAAGGATGAGATCTCAATAGCAACCTATGTCACAAAAACACCGAATTCGATAATCAGTCAGGAAAAAGGAGCTTCACATCAAATCCAGAGGCGAGAATTAGTATAATAATCGCTGTCAATGAAAAACCTCTTTGGCTCCAGGGATTTCAAAGATTGATCTTGGGCTTTCATCTGATATATAGGCAGCATATGCAGAGTCATAAACTATTATGGAGCCGTTAGTCTTGGCAAAATCAACCAGTTGCTCTAATTGCTGCCTAGATGCAGCGCTACCAGTTGGATTGTTTGGAGAGCAGAAGAAAATTATATCTGTCCTTGGAGTAGCAGACAGGTCAGGGAAAAAATTGTTCTCAGCTCTACAGTTCATGTAAACAATGTCGCTATACTTCCCACTTTTCTCTTCCAACTTGCCGGATTGACCAACAATTACACTGGTGTCAATATAAGCCTGTCTCAAGCATATACAGCCTATCAATATGGTGACTGAAACTCCACAAGTGTCGAAAGAGAAGGCAGAGTGGAAAAATATTGCAGCATGGAAATACTATGAACACAATAATATTCTTATTTTGTATTGTACGAATCGTTCATTGCGGGTTAACTAGATCCTGATAAAATTACCGGAAAAGAAGGGTCCTGAACAGCCACCTTCACATTGGAGCCCAGGAGCATCTGCCAGGGAAAACAAGAAGTCGAGGTTTAGTATTGTAGCATCGGTTTATTGGCTATATTCCACTTAACCAGTGAGGCCTGTATACCGGTAACCATTCTCTTGTTTACCTGAAGACGTGAAATGTCACATTGTGCTCCATCAGATACAAAAATCTCCTTGCCTTTCACCCCTGTACCTCTGTAAAGCGTTTCCGCAATAGCCATTCGTAATTCCTGTGCAGAGAAGCAACAAAACTTCAGTTTTGTAATATGGGCTTGGATAGAATAAACGAGTGCTGTACACAGACAGATTCGCAGAGAATACCTCGCAATATTTATTGATATGTATTGCATTTTTTCAGATGTGATCAGATCTTGAGCAGCATAATAAATTAGTCTATTTCTCTGTTAATCTTCTCTCTTCCATTGGGTATAGAACAGAATTAATATTTTTTTCTTCTCTAAGAAAGAACAAATTTCAAATCTTTCATCGTTGATCTGGACGGAAATTAATTTTCCAGACTTAAATTTGGATTTAATCACCGTGCTTGTAACACTGTGATATTCTAGCATGAACAAGAGCGTTAGATTTTCGATTTCGAATCTCACATGTCACATTTGTCATAAGTCAGATAAAATTCAAGCATATCCTTGATAAAAAATCCGGCCGAGTCGTTTTGTTCTCCGTTTTGGCTACTCTCGGAGCGAAAAATCGGCGTTTGCTGTTAAAAATTAATGTAAATTTACCACACCTTTTTTTTCAGGTTTTGTGCAGCGTTTACACTAGAGTTTTAATAAATTTTGATTTTTTTTTTTGTGTTTCTCAATTTGTTTAAAGTGTAAGTATGGAAAATAAGTTTAAAAAATAAAAAAAATATTATTTTAATATATTTTAAAATAAAAACGTATTTTAAAAAACAATTTCAACCATTACTCTAAACCGGCAGAACTCACTTGCGTTACCTTTCTAGATAGCATGACATGATTCTTGTTTCATTTTCCTGGTATTAACCAAACACGAGAAAAAATGTACACGTACTTATGCTGTATACAGATTTTCTAGTCAACAGCAAAACCAATTAAGTTGGGATTCATTATTTTCTTTAAGTGATAATGATAAAAAAATCAAAACGGAGAAATAATTTATCAATCTGCACTGCTTCATCTCAGAACCGAACAATTCACTCAAGCATCTTCATGTGCTCAAGGATTTGTGTCGGAGTGAAATTAATGAAGAGGTTGTCCTTGTACATTTTATAGCATCGCTCCACAAAGGTCAATCTGTGGGGATCGGGATATGGTAAAGAGGGGTGGGTTTTGTTTTTTCATCGATCATTTTAAGAAAAGAGCAGCACAAGCACGAAAGATGCTATTATATATACCATGTCGCCCTGCTCTGCTCCATATCCTCTGTAACCTCGTGTAGTTGACAAACCATCTGCATGCTGCAAGAAAAAAGTACTTGAATGTCAACAGAGTCTCGAACAAAATTAGTCAATAGCTCTGTTTCACCAAATGGCCGAGGGGAAATAGTCACCTCAGCCATCGCCGTCGTTATGATGTCTGGTATAGGCTGTGTGGTGTCACCAATTCCAAGTCTTATCAACCTTGCATTTGGGTTCTTTTGGATGTGCTCATGCTCACGTATGGATATCTGATTAAGAGTTCCCGAGGAATGAAAACAATCAGATAATTGTCAATGATTAAGGAGCATGTTTCGAATTAAAAAAAGAAAGAAAGAATACATGAGTTGATAGAATTAACGAGCACGAATCTAAAAGAGTTAGGGCGCATGATAACAGCAACAAGAGAACCTCAGGAAACAAATATCCACTTCGAAGGCCCTCCATATTAACATTGCGGGGGACATGTGTCCAGTGACCTGTCATCACATGCACATTCTTTATCATGATTAGCAGACCGAGATTATAATTAAGAAACTTAATGGTGGTTTAAGAAGCACTGTGGATTCGAAAATGACTCACCAGCTCTTCTCTCATTGCCGGACTTCGAACTGTAAATATATACACCCAGCAAAGGTAAACGGAAATCAGTAAACACTATAATAAAACATAGTACATGGAGTGAAAGATAGAAACTGAAAAACGGAAGAAACAGATGGAATCCGTGCATGTAATGACACTAATCGAAGTCATTTCTGTAAAAAGAATCACCTGGTCCAGTTTGTTTTGGGTTGTAGTAAGATTGCCTTGGGTATGCAAATGCACGATGTCACTTGAGAATAATTCATAATTTGGGTTTCAGGTTTTCCAAATAAACAGGTATCTCCTCAAATATGTGAAGCTACAGAGAGTTTATACAGAATTCAGGCACGAGAATGTCTTGCGGCATTGATGCTATATATACCAACAGCTTCCGTAGGCACACTGGATAAAATTTCCAGCGAGTTTCTACTTTCTATAAGCAACCTGTCTACTGTTAATACATAGAATTTTCCAAGAAACTTCCAACCTGTTGGAAAATTGAGACATTAAAGATAGCAACATGCACATGCTCAAAACCGGACTGTACTAGTGCAATTTTCAGATTGTTTAATGTCATTTCACGTTTTCTACTACAGCTAAGACTAAGCTAGTCTTTTCGCATTTTCCACAGGAAAAAAACTCATCCACTTTTCTTAGAAATTCGTGCAAAGAGAGCACTGATCCGTTATTGACTAAAACAGTTAATCTTTAATTAAGCCTCTATGAAAAAGAAAAAGTGGTCTTTAAGCCTTTTTAGCTTAAAAAAAGAAGAAGAAGAAGGCTTTATGGAGTGGGAATAATACACTTGAATCTGTCGACAAGGACAAGACCTATGCTATCATTTCTCCTCAAGTTCCCTTGGAAGACAAAAAACTTATTGAAAAGGATACAAGTAACATTTTAAGGTCACACATGTGGCAGCCACTCAAAAACTGAGGATGGGGGCCTGGCTGCCGAAGCCTGGAAGAACCTGATATTTCGGTTTCATTCATGGCCTGAAGTCGCCAAGCATTTGTTTTTTCCACACCTCCTAATACTTCCAACCCTCTGTATTCGGAAGAAGAAACAAAAAGGAATTTTTCTAAGATAGGATGAGAGCAATATATATATGTTCTGTGTAAAACATGCTCGATTGCGTGCAAGCTATTCACGGCAAATGTTACCACACGAGTTTTCTTTCGAAGAATAGAAATTGGGTTCGAATGCCAGATTTTCGAAGCAACTTCAAGTACCTCGATCAACCATTTTTCCCCGAAATGAAGCCACCTTGTGGAATTTAGGTCTGTTTGTTTGTCTTGAAAATTTGACTTTATAAAAAAATAAATTATTTTTTAATATTTAATAGTGTTACTGAAAATAAATTAGAAAATATTTTTTGATGTTTGGTTACTTCATATAAAATAATTTATTAATATTTAATTTTTTTCAAGTTTATTAAAATAATAAGAAATAAATATTACAAATTAAAAGGTTTAATGAAAATAAAATTAAAAAAAATAATCTAATTTCATAAATTATCTCAAATAAAATAAATAATAATCAAAATAATAAAGATCAAATTTAATAGATAAAAAAACTGAAAGATAATGAAATTAAAAAAAAATTATAATTTTATAAATTATTTAAAATAAAATAAGTAACAATCAAAATAATGAGTATTAAATTTGATAGATAAAAAATTTCAATTAAAGAAATAATAAGAGAAAAACAAATAACAATCATAAAAATAAAAACCAAAACTAATATAAAAATTAAATTAAATCATATTTTAAGGGGTAAAGTTAAAAAAAAAGAGGTTCAAAATAAAATATATAAAAATTAAAAATTTAAGAATTAAATTTGATAAAATCAGCAAACAATATGATATTTTTAAATTTTTCATAATTTTTAGAAAGTGTTATACGTTCAAAATAAAATTAATATAATTTTTTAAAAATCAAATTATATTTTTTAATTAAAAAATATTTTTTATTAATCAGTTTTTTTAATAACAAATAAATATACAAAATTTTAAAAAATTATTTTCCATGGAAGTTGCCTTTTTTCATGAAAATGATATTCTCTGGCTAGCAGACAGGCAACACGAGGAGGTGCCCTTGTGAAAAGTCAGTTTTGTGGAAATTAGACTTTTCATGGAAAGGGAGCTTCCCATTATCATACAAGATCGGCTCATCTGTATTTAGAAAAGTCCAATTTCCACCGGTCCACATCAATCCGATGGCAGGAGGGTGTGTTCATGGAGAATGGTCCCTCTCATTATTCTAGAGCATTCTCCTCCTCCTCCTTTCTAAACGTGGATGTGGAATTTGAAGTCCTTTTAGATTTAGTAGGAGCCAATGCCTGCCGACTTAAGGTGAATATAATTTAGTCTAACACCATTAACATTTTTAAATATAAAACAATAGCTAATTACCATCTATACCTCACACCATAGCACCAGGCAGCATACAAGCACGCTGTTTTGAAACTGTTTCAAGTAAATTTGTATTCTCTGACAGAATAGACAGATCTTTTTTTTGTTTTTGATACTTCTGAACTGGTGAAAATAATGTTTATAAATTGGATTTGTAAGAACACAGAATTCACAATTTCAGATTCTACTTATACAGAAGAAAAAACAAAAGAAAGTGACAAAAAAGAAAAAGAAGAGATCAAAAACAGAACCAAAAGAACTTCTTGTATTTACTGTCCTATTTCCTTCCAAATCGACAATGTCACTACTTGACGCAAGATTTCCACTGCAGGATTGTGAGTTTTCAGATTACTAGGCATGCAATATCAGGGCAAACAAAAAACTTGAAATAATTCACATGCCTTCATAAGAAAGCTTGCTGCTTGCGTAACTTTTCCGAGCTTTGATAGCCCAGCTCATGGACACTGACTGTCAAAAACAAACCCTTCTGGGCTTCCACCCTTTACAACCTAACAAAACCTTCTGGGCTTCCTCCCTTTCATTTTAATGGTATTTGTGTGAATTCCAAATAAAAAATTCATTTCTTAATCAATTCATTTAATTTCTTTTTAAGTTATGTTTTTAATGGTAATTTTAATTCAAATAGCACAATAGTAGATTTATTAAATAATTTTACTCACAATAGTGAGTAGCTTTCCTTATTGTCTCCCAATTGCTCTCGGGCTAACGGCAAGCTTCATTTTCAGTTCAAGTCTTTCCTCCTTCAAGTCTTAGCTCACAAAAATCAGGGCACCCAATACAATGCAGTTATGACAGTTCAAAGAGGTCTACGTGCTGCAACTGAACGGCCATCCATCGGGGGAGCAGAATCAAACCAGTTAAAACCTTAAAAAGCACACCATGTTCTGGCATCACACTCCATTGGCCACGAGGATAACTGGAGACCTTAATCTCCAAAGAACAAAGGATTTCTTCAGTCTTCACATCCTTCATTTACATAGGTATAGAAAAAGAAAGGAAATCTCATACATTTGCCGATGAACAACAATCCTAACAAAAATCGCTCGGGAGCTCATCGGGTGATGTGCAAGGCTATGTGGATATTTCTGGGATTGTTTAACGAGCTGATGGGTGATGTGCAAGGCTATGTGGATATTTCAAAGACAAGGTAAATGACATTGAAGGCGCATTCATGCCCAACATGGACGTGATGCATTTGTGCCTTTGGAGCAGCTTCTCACGTATCCTCGTGGCATACCTCAAATCATCGTTGAGTTGTTTTTGCTGAAAGTGAAATTACAGGGCTCTGCAAATCCGGGCATCTACCACAGGCATTCTGTTGGAATAATCTGAGATTTTCAGAGCCTCAGATAGTGACAAGCTGCGGTTTCTCCATGCAGCCTCTGCCCACCTTTTCATTTTCTCTCCTTCACCCTTTCTGTTCTCTTGAATGCATAGTGTTTCTGCATAGCCACCTACAGAATTGACCATTAAAGGGATGCAACAACCACAGAACAGATAAAATCATTCTGGTGCCTGTATTTTATCAAGATTTCTATTTGAGTTCATTTGCTTTACTATTTTTTAATCTTTTTCTTGTAATTTTAAAATACCATCAACAAGTGCTTTTGTTCTTAAACCCTCCTCAAGAAACTACTGCCACACTAGTAATCAAAATGGAATTTATGGAACAACTGCACCTGATTGATAGTCCTGAAAAGCACGAGAACTCATCTCGGAAAAGGAGGAGCTCATAGAAACACTAAAATTGTGGTTATCTCCAAATTTAACCTCCTAGCTAATTACACTTTCAGAAATCAGATATTGTGCATCCCGTGCACAAAACACTCTTGAAGCATTCTACAATCCAAGCAGATAACAAAACCACCTCCAGAATTTACACACAAACTTAGAACACCTATCCACCTTACAACAACAAAACCCAAGTCAAGGTAACAAGGTATAATGATGCCTGAATGGTTGTTTAGGGACAGCATTCACAGCAGAGGCCACATCATTCAAGGCTTTAGAGAAGTGAACAAGGACAGGCTTGATAAAATGGTTAACTAGGACAATTGGCACAATATTCATATCAATACCAAAAGAATATCAAAATGCATATCAAAGTAGTTATATAGTCAACCGTACCTCTTGCAAGAGCAATGATATCCATCCTATTTCTCATTGTTCTATTAACTGCGCAATCAAAAACAAAATGAGTACTGTAGTTGCATGAGAGGAAAAAAATTCAACTTCATATACCTTCTAAGTCCAGAGGTGGAGCTTTCAGCAACTCTATTGCCCTTCTATAAAGACCCTGTCAATGATTTATGACCCAAACCATAGCAAAAGAGTGAAAACACAAACAAGTTACAGTGACTTGACCACAAAAAGCTGATGTTACACAATGTTGTACATGACCACTTCAATCAACAAATGAACATGATGCTGAATTCTATTCTTCTTTTTTTCCCTCAAGAAAAGGAGAGATGATCAAGAGACTAAAGTGAGGTTCTCAATGAACCAAAGGAAAATTAATCTGACACTAACTATCTTGTCTATCTATCTGGAGTGTGATTTCTATTGGGTAATGCCTCATAACCTTTGCCAAAACAAATAATGTTCTACCATGATGGTCCCTGGATCCAAAATATACTTTAACTCTAACTTACTAGATGAGATCAATGATCCAAAATCAACCAAGTTATAATTTTAAACCATGAAGTTTAACTGATGGTGAGGTAATAAAGTGAAGGATAGCGATTGAAATTTTAAAATTCGGACAGTATTTCTATGATTAAGGTAAGGTTCTGACCTCTTGTATTAAAAGAGAACTTGAGTGCTCGCGTTTTGCTTTATGCTGGAACATGAGAGCCAGGCAGGTTAAAACTACACCAACCTTGGGATGACGAGAGCCTACATGACAACAATAAAACCATAGTGAGTTCGGATAGATCCTTAGATAAACTCCAAAAGGTTCCAAACTACATGCAATTAAAAGTACAAATTCAAAATAGCACACCAAAAAGTTGCTCGGCTCTGTTCAG